TTAGAAAAAAGAGAGCATTACAAAATTCAGAAATCCTTTGTAAGATAGTAGAATCAAAGACTGGGGACAAAAGCTGGGGAAGCATACTATGTACCCAACACTATTCTAAGCATTTTTCAGTGCTAATTCATTTAATCTTTAATCCAGCAACTTAACTTTACAGATGAAGAGTTTTCTATAAATGTATTTATTGAGCAAAGAACAATATATCTGTTTAAGGTATAAAGCAATTTGTAAGTGAGATTTTGATACTACCTATAGATTTCACTTATTATGCTAATAGTCTCTCCCTTTATCATAAGCAAATGGAAATTATTTGACTCCTGCAAGTTTCAAGGAGTAACTTCTAAAACATAGATAAAAATATGTTGGCTATAGACACAGAAATATCTTAACTGGATAACATCTCATTTAGATATTCTGATATGCTCTTAACCATACTGTACTTTGAGTTGTAGTTCACTGGCTTACTAATTACAAAAAGGCACTGAGGCAGAACAACAGAGCATAAGGATATATTTAGCAGGGCATACTTTTCATACCTCTTCATCTTTCATATTCACATCCACATTTTTCAACTTGATGGCTTTGGTTATATGGTCAATGTTGTTTTCCCTGCAGTAATCAAATATGTTTTTGTCTTCTTCCCTAGAGTTTAAAAAAAAAACAAAAAACAGGTGTTTGTCTTAATGGGTAATACATAAAAGTTACACATTTTTAACAACCTGTTTGCTGATGACGTACACATTAATAGAATCAGTTTTTATAAAAGTATCTTACATGAACAGTAATGGATTTGCAATAGATATATTATATCCAAACTCTGAAAAGACTATAGTTGTTAGCTTACTACTTATCTTACAGGATAACAGAATAAATTGTTACTCAAATTAAAAAAAAAATATATATATATATAAAAGAAAGTAATTTTCTTAAAGGAAAGATAATTCGTTAGAAAAAAGAGAGCATTACAAAATTCAGAAATCCTTTGTAAGATAGTAGAATCAAAGACTGGGAACAAAAGCTGGGAAGCATACTACATACCCAGCACTATTCTAAGTATTTTGCAGTGCTAATTCATTTAATCTTAATCCAGCAACTTCACTTTACAGATGAAGAAACAGGCACAGATGAGAGGTTAAATGACCTGTGTCAAATAGCACCACATTTATCAAAGGTAGAATAAGAGCTAGAACAGATCAACTGACTTTGTATGTGGTACATTTTTCTATTATATCATGCTGCCTCTTGACTAGTTAGTTGCAGTCTATTCCGAAACCTAAAGGAGAAGTTCTTAACTTGAGGCCTATGAGTGCTCTAGAACAGTATATGGAACTATCTTTGTAATGCATGTGTATTTTTCTGGGTGTTGTATGTATATGGCAAGGAGAAGGAGGGGGATACTTTAATTAAAGGATCAGTGACTTCCAAAAGGATCAGTAATTTAGACAATTAGCAATAAATCTGTTCTATATGTGGACTGAATTTTATGGACAGGTACATAAGAATGTATTTTGAGTTCCAAAAATTAAA